TGGTGCGGTAGAGGATGACCTTGAGTCTCTGACCCTTGGAGTTTTACCTCAGCACTAGAATTACTGGCCTGTGCCACCACATCTTGCTTTATGTTTCTGACTCTTTCTAGGACTTTCTATGGCTCTGCATTTGTATGGGATAAGAAAATCTCCAGTACGGAGAAGCAGCTATCACTTCAGGGATTAAGAGTGCCAGAAAGGAAAACCTCACGTTCTTACCGTCCCTTCTCCCTCTCAACACAAACCACAGGCCATGGGCAGCAGAGCCCCCTCCCGCCCTCGGATAGACAGCTGGGGGAGGCACAGACACACTTCCTACTGGTGTAAAAGCCTTCAGATCTGGACTCAAGTTGTCAGCTTGCTCATCAAGTGCATTTTCCCACTGAGCTAAGTCCCCAGCTCCTCTTTGGTCTTTTTGTCCCTGTAATGATTCTTTTTTCTTGGCCTTGAAGCTCAACCATCAATTTCCAGGCACTGGAGGAGGAGGGGGAAAAAAAGCCAAACCCTGGCCTTTCTAAGCCTCCTGCTCACTCTGTTGCTTGGGGCTACCTCCTCCCTCCTTCCACCTCTGTGTAGAGGGGAATTAATGGCCCCTGTAGAGACCTAACCAGCTCAGCTCCCACGTTCTTTGTGATGGGCCAGCCTTTCCACAAAGGCTGCTGCTTACCTTGTCTGAGTCCATGCTGGCAGTAATCCCACACAATTAAAATAATTATAATCCCTCTCATACAGAGGAGGACACTGGCCTTCGGAGGAGCGAAGTGGTCTGCCCAAAATCACACAGTGGAGTCTGACAGCGTGCCCCTGAGGCCACAGAGCGTCAAAGCAAGTGCTGAGAGGGCCAGAGAACGAACGGAAGGACCAGAATCTGATCTATGCCTCAGACGGGGGCTTGTAGTAATACTATGTTATGCTCTTAGACCAGAATCTGATCTATGCCTCAGACGGGGGCTTGTAGTAATACTATGTTATGCTCTTAGGGCTCTTCTGGGAGACCTGCCACCCAGCTCCCAAGTAAACACACATGGAGCCATCTTCTTATTTATAAACACCTGGCCTCAGCTTGGCTTGTTTCTTGCCCACTTTTCTTAACTTATATTATCCCATCTACCCTTTGGCCTCTGTGCTTTTCACGTTCCCTTAGTTCTTTAAATCTTACTCTTACTCCGTGGATTGCTGTGTAGCTGGGTGGCTGGCTCCTGATGTCCTCCTCCTTCTGGGGCTACTACTCTGAACCTCATCTATATATTGTCTCTGCCTGCCAGCCCGGCCTCTTTTCTCCTGCCTCGCTATTGGCCGTTCAGACCTTTATTAGACCAGCAGGCGTTCGAGAGAGGCAAAGTATCACAGCTTCACAGAGTTGAACAAATGCAACATAAACAAAAGTAACACACCTTAAAATAATATTCCCAACAAGGGCTTGCCACCTCTCTTCACCAGTCAGCCACCTGTCCCTAGATGCCAACCCTAGGGCGAACATGGCTATCTCATCACGACTATGCTAGCATTGGAAGCCTGCAAGGCCATGAAGATCTGTCTGCCCCCTACAGTCCAGCTCATCGCTTCCCACACCAGCTCTGAGAGCTCACGGCGTCACGGGGTCAGGGTGGCACCAAGTGCTGGGCGAGAGCTGTAGGAGAGGTCTCCCTGTGCCCTTCCAGACTGCAGACAGCCTCCTAGTCGGCACAGGGTGCCTGACAAGTGTCCAAACACTTCCTGGGTCCCTTCGTGCAACCCTGGCTCTCCCACCTCCCTCAGTCCTGGGCTGTCCACACCCCATATTTGTCTGCACAAGGAGGGTGATAACGATGTGTGCTGTTCAAGGGATGGCGCGGAAGCGTGGCCCTTGCGAGGGCTCCATAACGGATGCTTGTCGTCCAGGCAGGGATACGATCCTTCATCTCACACCCACAGCTGTGAGCAGGCTGGGAATACCTCCACCCCCATCCTCCGGCTGACTTGATTACTGTGTAGCCTAGACTGACCTAAACTCATGATTTCCCCTTAGTCTCCTGAAGGCTGGAATCATAGACACATTTGACCATATCTTCATCTGCTGGTTTCTGAAGAGTCCCTTAAGTTCTAAGCATGGTGATACTTGGCTTTAATCTCAGCACTTAAGAAGATGCAGAGGGGGGCTGGAGAGGTGGCTCAGTGGTTAAGAGCATTGCCTGCTCTTCTAGAGGACCCGGGTTCAATTCCCAGCACCCACATGGCAGCTCACAACTGTCTGAAGATCCAGTTCCAGGGGATCTGACACTTCACACCAATGCACATAAAAAATAAAAAGTTTGGGGGGCTGGAGAGATGGCTCAGTGGTTAAGAGCATTGCCTGCTCTTCCAAAGGTTCTGAGTTCAACTCCCAGCAACCACATGGTGGCTCACAACCATCTGTAATGAGGTCTGGTGCTTTCTTCTGGCCTGCAGACATACACACAGACAGAATAATGTATACATAATAAATAAATATTTAAAAAAAATAAATAAATAAAAAAAAAATAAAAAGTTTAAGCCGGGCGGTGGTGGCGCACGCCTTTAATCCCAGCACTTGGGAGGCAGAGGCAGGCGGATCTCTGTGAGTTCGAGGCCAGCCTGGTCTACAAGAGCTAGTTCCAGGACAGGCTCCAAAACCACAGAGAAACCCTGTCTCGAAAAACCAAAAAAAAATAAATAAATAAAAAGTTTAAAAAACCATAAAAAATAAATAAATTAAAAAAAAAAAAAGATGCAGAGGCAGAGCCGGGCAGTGATGGCACACACCTTTAATCCTAGTTCTTAGGAGGCAGAGGCAGGCGAATCTCTGTGAGTTAGAGGCCAGCCTGGTCTACAGAAGGAGTTCCAGGACAGCCAGGGCGACACATCCATGCGCATGTGTGCAGACACACACACACACACACACACACACACACACACACAAAGATGCAGTGGCAGATCTCTGTGAGCTCAAGACTAGCCTGGTTAACATAGTAATTTCAGGCCAATCAAGACTAAATATATAGTGAGACGCAGTCTGAAAAAAAAATAAATCCACAAAAATGGGTGGAGTCTAAGTCAAGGCACTTGACTTAGTACTGACATCTTTGGTACCGGAGTCAGGAGTCTAGAATATCCTGGCAAGCCTTGTCCCTAGGGCCCAGCACTATGAGTAAAACCAAGGAAAGGGAGCACCTGTGGTGGCAGGAAGGATGGATGGGACTTCTCTGCTCCTGCTCCTTTGTGCTCACACCCCAGAAGGAGGGCTGCTCCTGTTCCTTTCCCCTGTCCTGCCACCCATGTTCCCTCAGGGCCTCATTCACCTCGGTCAGGTTGCAGTGCCGGGCCGCAGATGAGCAGGCTGCCTGTCTGGGGATGACAGTCGCCTCCACAGCCAGCTACAGAGCTCAAGGAATACTCAATGAGTACTGATGAGCAGGAGCCAGGAGAAGGCCAGAGAGACCTGAGAATGGACAAGGACAGCTAGCGAAACAGACCCTCACCGCCTTTAAGGATGGAGATGGAGAAAGACAAACTAGGGACCCACAAAGGAGAGGAGGGCCCCTGAGGAGTCAGTGAGGATGGATGCCTCCTGACAGCCAGCCGGCAGAGGCCCAGCTCGGAGCTGGGATGGGTGGGAGCATAAAGACTAAACCATAGGCTAGTGGCAGTTCTTCCCTGGCGTGTTTTGGTGAGGCCAGGGAGTTAGAGCAAGAGGCAGATGGGAGGCCAGAGAAGAGTTCCAGCTATGTTAAGAGAGAGGTTTGAGGCTCTGACAGGCCTCGGCACTGTGTAGCTGGTGCCTCTTGTCAAAGCTGACAAGCCTTCCAGCCTCTAGGCCTGAAGAGGGCACCTTCCTGTGTGTGTTTGGGAGGAGGAGCTAGGTGAGCAGGACTGTCTCCTGACGGTCTGTCCCTGAGGTCTTGCAGACACAAAGCACAAGGCTGTGCTGAGAGGGGAAAAGGAGTAAGAAACGGGAGTCCTGAACTGTGTCTGGGGTCGTGGGGGGTTTGGCACCCCCTTCACCAGTCAGTCACCTGCCTCTGGACTTGACCTCTACTCCAGAAGTGACCTCTACTGAGAGACTGCAGCTCCGAGCTTCAGATTTCCCAGTGCCACACAGACCTGTCTCAGGGCCCCAGCTGCCCTCACCCTGTGTGTGAATTCCTCCACTATAACAGAGACTAAAGCACACTTTCCCAACCACCTGACTCCAGCCCTCGGTGCCAGCTCCACGCCACGCCCCTGAACCCCCCCCCCCCCAACATGGGGAAAGGGGAAACAGATGTTAATTTGTTCATCTTTGCTAATCCGGAGAGGAGCATAAACAGCGGAGCTCGGCAGCAAAGCTCGGCCGAGGGTGTCGCTGAGGGCTAATTATGCACCATTAGAGCGTTTACTCTTTGTTCCACGGGCGTATTAATTGCAGACGTGGCTTTGTGGCAATTAACACGATTATGGGCTCGCTGTCTCTTCCAGCAGGCCACAAGCCATGAACTTTTGGCTAAGGTGTTGTGCACTCTCGAGGTAGAGAGCGGGGATACCCTTTGCAGAGTACGCCCACTATTGTGGGCTGAACTGTGTCTCCCCAAATGTGTCTGTTGAGCTCCTCATCTCCAGGTTGTCAGAACGTGACCTTAACTAGGTCTGTACTAAGGTCATCAAGTTAAAATGAGGCCATCAGGGTGAGACCTTACCTAGTTCAGTTATGTCCAAAGTCTAAAGAGTAAATGAGAATTCAAGGCCTAAGCAAGTGACACAGTGAGGTCAAAGCCTGCCTAAGCTTCTTAGCAAGATTCTGTTCTGTCTCTAAACTAAAAGGCAAAAAGGAAAAAAAAGAAAGAAAGGCAGCCGGCAGGCAGTGATGGCACACATCTTTAATCCCAGCCCTCAGGGAGCAGAGGCAGGCAGATCTCTGAGTTCTGAGACCAGCCTGGTCTACAAGAGCTAGTTCCAGGACAGGCTCCAAAGCTATACAGAGAAATCCTATCTCGATAAAAAAAAAAAACATAGATAGATAGATAGATAGATAGCTGGATCAATAGATAGATAGATCAATAAATAAGTAAATGAAAGGCAGAGGAGGGGTAGTGGCTGGGTTCAAACCATGCGTGGCAGTGTATACCTGTAATCACAGGTAAGACAATGACAGGAGGATCAGGGGTCCAAGGCCAGCAGCAGCTACAGAGTGAGTTTGAGGCCATCTTGGGCTACACGCAAATAAACGTGATGTGAGAAGCCCCTCTGTGTGCTGTGAATGTTTTATTACCATTGGTTAATAAAGAAGCTGCTTTGACCTATGAAAAGGCAGAATAGAGCTAGGCAGGGAAACTAAACTGAACACAGGGAGAAAGAAGACAGGGTCAGGCAGACACAATGTGACTGCCCAAGGAGAAAAACACCAGAATCTTACTGGTAAACCACAGCCTCGTGGCGATACACAGATTAATAGGAATGGATTAATTTAAGATAGAAGAGTTAGCTAGAAATATGTCTGAGCCGTTGACCAAACAGTGTTGTAAATTAATATAGTTTTGTGTGATTATTCGGATCTGGGCAGGCAGGAAACGAAAGTGCAGTCTCCTTTAAAAAAAAAACAAATAAACAAATCCGTGTTAAACAAAACAAAATAAAACAAAAACAAGAGTTCTGTGGCCAGGTAGGCAGGAAAGGCTGTCTTTACAGTTGTCTGGCTTTTGTGTCTACTTTAGATGTCTTTGCTGTGGGCTTCTCAAGGCCCTTACAGCACAGTATGTATGCATCACAGTCCCTAGTCACTCACTTGCTAGGTGCCCAGCACAGCAAGCAAGGTCACATGGTACCACAGTACCACTCCGATGGCACAAGCAGATCTACGTGTAAAAGGTGGCATTTTTTTTCTTTACGATGCTCCCTGAGCTTTGGAGGTGATAGTGTAGAGATCCTACTTAGAGCTGAGCACTCGATAATCACTGATTCTCAGCAGTTTGATGGTCAGGAGTCTGCGCTAACTGCTGCTCACCGCAGTAGAAGCCTCTCTGGGCAAGGCTGGGAGCAGCACAACCTGTGGGGAGACACATAAACCTCAGAAGACAGTTCAAAAGCATGAAGGACTTAGGTCTTACTTTCAGGGGTCCTCATCCATGTGGCAGGCTGACTGAGCCATGCGGGTTGATGTTACAGCAGAATTTCTCACCCTGAGGGTTCAGCCAGCATCAGAGATCTGTAGTAGACATCCTAATCTAAGCATGTAGCATCCTTCTTAGGAATCATCAGGGTCTCTGTGTGCCTCTCGTGGTGAGATGTCCCTTTCAATAGGATGCTACACCCGCTTCACGTAGTCAGTGGAACTATAACTAAGCCGTCTTAATGACAATCTCCAGCCATCGTGAGAGGTCCAGCAGGTTGCACACCTTGGGGTTTCTTTGGGACCTGGAGGAAACGGCTTTCTTTCCACCAGCATCGCTGGGAGTTGGCAGGGAGAGAGGTCCAATCTGTGTGAGAACAAAAGTTGAGGTCACACAGCAGCGAGAAGCAGAGAGTCCCAAAGGAGCAGAGGGTCCTAAAGGAGCATTCAGGAGGCAGCACTGAGGCTCCAGGCCCAGGCCCCAAGGCTGTGGTTCCAACAACCGTCTTAGCCCTCTGAGCTGTGTTTTGGTGAAGAGAAAGGCCCTGACCATGCTCCAACCCCTACCACTGCAGCAGACCCAAACTCATCAACAAGACAGACTCAATGTGACAGGAGGGCCTGGGGAGCCACTGCGGGCCAAGGCCAGCACGCCTAGATGTCCACACAGTAGTGATGGATCCAAGTCCCTTTCCCAGACAGCTTCCTTTCGATATGGAAGGAATAAGCAACAACAACAAAAAACTCCACAAATTTAAAAAGTCAAAGGCGTCAGTATTTGTAGACTGAAAAATCAGACAATCAGGGAACCCTAATGTGAGGGGGGAAATCACTGAAGCTGGCATCAGAAAAAAGAAATTCTGTTTTGTTTTGTTTTGTTTTTTGAGACAGATTTCTCTGGCTGTCCTAGAACTAGCTCTTTAGACCAGGCTGGCCTTGAATTTACAAAGATCCACCTGCCTCTGCCTCCCAAGTGCTGAGATTAAAGGTGTGCACCACCACCACTAGAGAGAGAGAGAGAGAGAGAGAGAGAGAGAGAGAGAGAGAGAGAACAAAAGCAAACTCTAAAATAAGAGCTGTTGGGGATATTCTTTTCAGGTGTATGATTTTTGTTTCCGCTGCATTTGTTTAACTCTGTGAAGCTATTACTGTGCCTGTCTAAAACGCCTGATGATCTAATAAAGAGATGAACAGCCAATACCGAGGCAGGAGCAAGGATAGGTGGGACTGGCCGGCAGCGAGAATAAACAGAAAGAGAGTGGAGCGGAGTGGAGAACAAGGAGAAGGGGAAGATAGGGGCCAACCAGCCAGCAAGCCACTGAGTATGAAGGAAAATAAGCCATCCAGAAGTGAGAAAGATAAAAGACCAGAAGCAAAAGGTAGTGGAGATAATTTAAGATAAAAGCTGGCAGCCGGGCGATGGTGGCGCACGCCTTTAATCCCAGCACTCGGGAGGCAGAGGCAGGCGGATCTCTGTGAGTTCGAGACCAGCCTGGTCTACAGAGCTAGTTCCAGGAGAGGCTCCAAAGCCACAGAGAAACCGTCTCGAAAAACCAAAAAAAAAAAAGAAAAAAAAAAAAAGCTGGCTAGAAACCAGCTTACTTATGGCCAGGCATTTGTTACCAAGAATAAGCCTTCGTGTGTGATTTATTTGGGAACTGGGTGGTGGGCCCCCCAAAAAGCCAAAAGAGCAAAACATCACACAACAAAGAGCAAGCTCAGGGTGTCTGGAGAACAGAGAGCAAAACCCCAGTGGCTGGAGGGAACAAGCAGGGGTCATGGGAAGAGGGTCAGAGGGCCAAGGGCATGGGACAGGAAGGGAACGCTGACTTCTAATGACTTCCAGGATGGCTCTGCATTCCTGTGCTGCCACAAGCACCAGAGAAAGCAAACGGCTGTCATGCAGCCTGGGAAATCTTAGGATTCAGAGACTAGATTACCTTTGGGTCTATCAAGATTTCAGTGGCTTGAGAGATGAGGCCACACAACCCAAATGGCCAGGAGAGGCCTTGTTGTGCCTCAGAACCAGACAAGGCCAAGACTCCCGAGCCTGAACCACCATGGCTCCTTCCTCATACATGGAGAAGAAGGCGACTCTGCCAGGACTTAGGCTGAGGGGACAGTCACCTCTGCAATGCTACAGAGTGGTTCCAAAGCTGCCACCCAGCATGACCCTTTACTGGACCGCATCCATTTCATTAACCACACTTCCAGGGAGCAAAGGAACAGAAATATGAGCATCTGGAAGGTACTTAAATGGGCATGCCTAGGAATCCATGCCCAGCAGTGGTGGCGCATGCTTTTAATCCCAGCACTTGGGAGGCAGAGGCAGCTGGGACTCAGTGAGTTCAAGATCAGCCTGGTCTACAAAGTGAGTTCCAGGACAGCCAGGGCTACACAGAGAAACCCTGTCTCAAAAAAGGGGGGAAAATGAACCAACAATGAGACCCACAGGCTCCCTGAGGCTCAGACATAAGGAACAGAGTTACCTAAGGGGGGGGCGGGTGGAGGGGAAGTGGGCAAATCCAGCCCTGGCTGCAGGTGAGTCTATTGCTCTCCTTGGTACTCTACCCTTCCCCATGTGGCCCCCTGGTGACCTCCAGACAGTAATCCCCTAAACCTCTCTGCCTCCTCAAGTCTCAGCTCCTGGAAGGTAGGGCTGGATAAATCCCCTGTGCCAGCAGGACAGCTGAGTGGGACAGCCCTTCTCCTCCTCCCCCTCCCTAGATATCCTGAGGAAGCAATACAGCTTAGAGAGGGGTGGATAAATCCAGTCAGAACTGGTGCTGGCTGCCGCTCTCCAACATATTGGGGAACCCCCACCCAGGACTGGGGTGCTGACGGAACAGAGCTGGCTCTCTAGCAAAGCTTCTGGGCTAGTCCAGACAAATCAGCCCTGGGTTTTCCATACCTGAAGCTTTCTGGATCAGGGACCGGCAGACCTGCAGGCCTCTGTACCTTCCCTGACTTTCCCATCAGCTACATGACAAAGCAGAAAGTCCCCATGGGCCTGTGCAGGAGTTCCAAAGGGACAGTATTCCTCCCTGCTGGCAAGCCTGGGTCTGCCTGTTGTGACTTGTCCTCCTCTGGGTGATGAGAATTTTTCCAAGTCCGTCTCCAGCAACCTCAGCAACTCAAGGGCAGGGCTGGGTTCCACGTCTCTGCCTGCCCGGCCTACTCCGGCCGGTCCTGACTAGTTGGGATCTAGCAGAAGCACTGTTGGCTCAGGGTGGGTTGGTGGATTGGACTAACTCTACAGGAGCCTGGAGGAGTCTTGGGGCTCACCTCGGTAGGCAGCCGTATGCTTTGGGGGATCTCTGAAAGAGCTAGAGAAAGGTTCTAGACAGATTCCAGGTTGTCCATACCAGGTGGCTGCCTCTCAGAAGAAAGCTTCAGCACTTCCGGTGGGCAGGTGGGTCAGCATGAGGAGAGTTCAAAGACCACTATGGCCAGAGTCTCCCAGGATGATGCAATGTCCTGGGAACAAACTCCTGCCTAGCTAAGAATGGAGAAAATAAAAAGCAGCCAGGCCCCACTGGGCCCCACGGACTCCAGGGCTGGGATGGGGAGCAAGGCCTTTCTAAGGGGCCACAGCAATAACCACACAAAAGGACCCAGCTATCAAGATAACATGGGAGGTTACGTGGGATCCTCTCCCACAGGGGTGGATGCTCCCAGTCCTGTCCAGCCAGGACCTTCTGCACTGGAGGCTGAACTCCTCCATCATGGTTCACCCTGCATCTTGCTGCTGTGGTTTCTGTTTCATGCAAGGACACACAAGGATGTGTGCTACGTAAACAAAGGGCTATTTTTACCACCTCATTGTTTTCTCACTCGGCTTCCTAGATCCTCAGCCAAGGTACACCCCTGGAGCACACCATATATATTCACAGATCTTCCGGCACAGCAGGCTCTGCCCTGCCAGGTTACAGCGATACCAGCCATCACCGCCAGGCGCTGCCTCCGGTTGGGGTCGACCGTGATCCACAGTGAGAGGATGAGGTCTCTGCCTGATGCCAGTTTTGAGGCTGGGAGGGGAAGACAGAGAGGTACCTGACCTTGGGGCATTGCCCACCATGGAGGGAAATTTCACCCAGTTGTCCTTAGCCCCAGCCCACCTAGACCCTTGGAGGAGCGCTGCGTGGACAGAGCCAGCAGACAGGGTTGGCTCCCTAAAGGGGAGAAGGGGAGGCAAAGGTTGAGAGACAGAGCAGCCCCTGCATGGAGGGGAGTGTGGGGCGGAGGTGTAGGGGAGAAAGAAGGAGCAGGCCTTCACTTGGTCTTACCATTTTGAAGTTCTCTCCAGTCAGCATAGGCCCCTGTCTGAGCCCCAGGCAGGCTGTTCCACACACCACACGATCCCACCCTTGGCACACCACGGCTGGTGATTGCGGGCAGTTGTCGATGAGGTAAGTGCCATTGTTCTTACATTCCAGATGAAGAAACAAGGACTCAGAGACCTCCTGTGACTCCCACAATACACGGCTAGTAACTGGCAGTCTGAATTTGAACCCTGACCTACAGTACTGGACACTCCCCACCCCAAGCTCAGGACCTGTCTTCTTGGATAAAGTGTTGGATGTCCCCTGGGGCAGCTACCCTTAGTGTGAGTTCCCAGCCCCAGTAAGGCCAGGGCAGCCCATCTAGGAACAGGGTGGCAGCCTGGGCCCTGGGTCCCCATGGGTGTTGGGCACACAGGGTGCCTCTCTCTTCTTTCTCCTCCTCCTCCTCCTCCTGCCTGCTGAGAACAGAGCTGGCGCAGTGGGAGGGAGCCTCTGGCTGCGATGGCTTATTTTAACCACTTGATCATGATCGAGGATTTAATTTTATCCCCTTCCCTGCCTGGCTGGAATTGCGTTTGGAGTTTGAACACAAGAGGCCCCCGGAAGGCAGAGATGCTGTGCCCAGGCTCTGCTTGCTTTGCCATCTGGGGGACCCCCTCTCTGCACCAGCTGGAGAAGGCCAAGGGACACCACTCCAGTTAACACCCTTCCCCCATGGGCAGCAAAGCCTCTTAAGGGAGGCAGAGGCTCTGCGGTGATGGGGAAGAAACCTCGGCCTTGGCTTGCCTAGCCTCATCAGAAAGCAATTAATAGGCAAGTAATTGGACCTGGCGCTGGGCTTCTCCCCAAGTACTGTAGATAAGACTGTCTTCTGTATGACTTCTGAGCAGGTGGGGGCAAAGGGACACCCGCCAGGGTGACCTCATGGTGACCATATGTCCTGACCACCCACGGTGCATGGGTCACACTGCTGAGCAAGTCCTACATGTTGTCATTACTCCTCTGTAGCAGCCTCGTGGGACGGGTGCTCCTCTGTCACACGGCTTTCAGGCCTGTCGGCCTCCAGAGCTCTCGCTCTAAACCATCTTTCCCCAGACCCTGGCCATGTGGACATTGTTAGGTCTCAAACCCTGGGACAAATGGAGGTGCCTATTTAACATGTTGAAGTGGACGCTGCTGCCAGCCAGCTTCTCCAGCATCCCCCAGTCCCTACCTGTTACAGGCATACCTGCCCTCTCCCCTGAACTCTCCGGCCCAGGGGCTGGGCTGCCCAGAGACTCTTCATTTTGGTTACCCTCCCCTTTTACCTTTGGCCCACTTGGTTGCTACACCTGGCTTTCCTCTCTGCCCTCCCCTTCCCTCACAGGGCTCAGGGTCATGTCCACTCTGGACTCGCCCAGATGTCTCTGCCTCTAGCTATGTTAGCTCTTTAATCTACAGCAAACTGTCTTCCACCATACCTAGGAGCAGTGATGTTCTTCCTTTTTGTATTTGTTTACTTTTCATCCAGACATAAAGATGTACTCTGTGGGAGCAAACAATGTTCTAAGTCCAAGAGTGGAAGAGAAGTTTCTAGAAAAACCAGCTTAGCTTAGCAGTGAATTGCCATGTCTGCATGGTATGGTAGGAAAGAAAGCAGAGAGAAGATGGCAGACCGGGGGCAGACCAGGAATACGATGACGTCACCCACTCCTCGGGCTGGCACTTGCAGAGCGCTATACACCGCCCATTAGCATCTAATAGTTATCAGCTGTGCTATCAAGACTGGGACGTGGGAGACGCCCGATGTCTTGGACAGTTTTCTGTTGCTGCATCAAAATGTCTGGGACTAGGCAAGCCGTAAAGAAGCTTATTTGGCTCCTGGCTTTGGAGGCTGTGAAGTACAAAGGCGTGGGCGTCTAGTGGAGGCTTTGGTGCTGCGCTGTGGCACGGTGGACAGCGGCACTTGGGGATGCAGAGTAAGCCCGCGCAGGTCTCTTCCTCCAGTAAAGGCACCAGTGTCACCACAGGGTCCCACCCTGTGACATCATCCGACCCCAATGACTTCTGCCCAGACACCATGGAAATAGGAATTTAGGGATTAAGGGCCACACTTAAATAAATTACAGCATGTGTACAAAGGAATGAACGATATTTGTAAATGTTCACCTTCTTCCGCTGGATGCAAGGTCAGGAAGTGGAAATTCTAGAAGGCCGTGGGTCTGATGTTACCTCCCAGGGCTGTGCAGGGTGGGTGGGGCTGGTGGGGCTCCCACAGGTGTGTAAACAGAAATGTCTTCCCCAGAGCCTTAGGAAGAGGCCCAGAGGCAGGAAAGGTGAAGCTGGCTTTCTGGAAAGTATCCAGGTTGTCCAGGTGGAGACAAGACCCTAGCTGATATTAAAGACACTTGTGAGGGCTGAGAATGTAGTTTAACTGGCAGAGTGGTCATCTAGCATGCATGACACTGGTTTTATAACCAGAACTGCATAAACCTGGCCCACACTTGCAAGCCCAATACTCAGGAAGTTGAGGCTGGAGGATCGGAAATTCAAGGCCATATTGTGAGGCTAGCCTGGGATATATGAAACCCTGTTTTTTTTTTGTTGTTTGTTTGTTTTTTTTTGGTTTTTGTTTTCTTGACAGGGTTTCTCTGTGTAGCTCTGGCTGTCCTAGAACTCATCTGTAGACTAGGCTGGCCTCTAACTCAGATCCACCTGCCTCTGCCTCCCAAGTACTGGGATTAAAGGTGTGCACCACTACACCCAGCTTTGTTTTTTTTCTTTTTTGAGACAGGGTTTCTCTGTGTAATAGGCTGTCCTGAAACTCATTTTGTAGACTAGGCTGGTCTCGAACTCACAGAGATCCACCTGTCTCTGCCTCCCCAGGGCTGGGATTAAAGGTGTGCGCCACCACTGCCCAGCGACTTTTTTTTAAATCTAATTTAATTTAATTAATTAATTTATTAATTAATTTATTTATTTATTTTGGTTTTTCAAGACAGGATTTCTCTGTGGTTTTGGAGCCTGTCCTGGAACTAGCTCTTGTAGACCAGGCTGGTCTCGAACTCACGGAGATCCGCCTGCCTCTGCCTCCCGAGTGCTGGGATTAAAGGCCTGCACCACCACCACCCGGCTGCCCAGCGACTTTTTTAAAGTACAATTATATCACTGGCTTCACTTCCTAACCCACCCAGCTGTCTCCCAGAATATCACATTATTTCAAAGGACCTCAGAGAGGGTAAATGGTTTCTAAATGGGGCTCCCCTGGCTAGTCTGAGCCTAGTTCATCTTGTGGGAAAGGTGTAGGGCAGTGCTGAGGTCCCTTGGGGTCCAGGAAGTTGGCTCCTGCCTCCCTCAGCTGGACCAGCTGCCACAGAAGGGAAAGATTTCTCTCAGACAAAGGATCCTGTTTAAAGGCTGAGAGGAGCCTGGATGCTACAGCTGCTTACTCACCTAAGGGAACAGAGAAACACTTCATTCTCTGCAGTCTCCTACCCTGGGAATGGGAAACACTTGCCCTCCAGCTCCCGAGCCCCGCCCCCAGGCTGTATTTGCACACCCCACTGCATCTTTATCCCAGCCCCGCCCTCCAAGCTCATTATCAGCGGCAAGCACCTGCGGCCAGGAAGGCAGATCCCTGAGGGTCCTGCTGTGTGCGGCCAGGTGGCTCCGGGGGACCCTTTCTCTTCACTGCTGAGCGTCCGTCATTTTAGTGACCTACTTCCTTCTACAGACTCAGTGTGCTCAGACAGCGCAAGTTGAATGACTCCCAGCTCCACCCCTGCTCAGCTAAGAGGCTGGACCTGAGTCAGCCAGCCCCTTCCTTGGAGCAATTAACTAGATAGAGTACAAGTTTGCCCTGGGGCTTAGAACTGCAGGGAGAGGGTAGATTCTACACGCGTCTTTCTTTTGCCTGACCCTTTGAATAGGCTTTTCGTGTAAGTTTGGCTAACTCAGTGTGCCGTACAGATAAGGAATTGTGTACAGACGTGGAATCACAGAGGACAGACCAAGTTGATGTGAGCATAACCACAAGTCCCTTCCAGAGGTTCTCCTCCACCTCCATCAGAGGCCCAAGTGCTGGGATTATGTGAGCATAACCACAAGTCACTTCCAGAGGTTCTCCTCCACCTCCATCAGAGGCCCAAGTGCTGGGATTGTGCATACGTGCTACCACACCTGCCTTACATGGTGCTGGGTGGGAATCAAACCCAGGGGTTCTATGCTGTGCTACACAAACACAGTATCAGTAGAGCTACATGTCCAGCACTCTCCTCCCACTCCCCCTTTTGAGACCGGGTTTCCCTATGTGCTTTGGCTGTCTTGAAACTGTCTCTGTAGAGCAGTCTGGCCTCAGAGACCTACCACCTGTCTCCTGAGTGCTGGGATTAAATGTGCCAGAGCACCATGCCCCATCCCTTTCTGAGGTGAGGTCTCATGCAGTCCAGACTGCCCAGGACTAACTATACAGCCACAGCTGACTGTGAACTCCTAGTTCTGCTCCCCCCTCACTAGAGCTGAGAATGAGAGTTGTGGGAATATGCCCAGCTCGGTTTTTTTCCCTTTTCTTGAGACAGAGCATCATTGTAGCCCAGGCTGAACCGGAACCCACCTCAATCCTCCTGCCTCAGCCTCATGATTCCTGGGATTACAGGTCTGTGACACACAACCCGTCTGTATGATGCTAAGGATCAACCCGGGGCTTCCCGCACGATCAGCTGTTGACTGAGTTACATTCCCAGCCCAGGCTATAAACATAGGAAACTTCACACTGCCCTCCCTCCTCCCCACGCTCCTGAGAAGCGCCCCAGCAATGGCAGCTTTGAGAGAGAAACCAGCTCATCTCACCCATCGGGCTATGAAAATCTTTATTGTTCTGTTTTTCTCCATTAGACAGACTTTCCATTGGAGTAAGAAGCCACAGGACACTTGCACTTCCTCAGCAGGGGAGCCCATCAGTGCTGGAAGAGTGAGCACACGCCACCGCCTACCACCAGGGCTCGGCTCCGAGGGAGTCGCAGGAGCCAACTGAAGGTGGCAGCACCCTACTTTACACACTCTCCTGAGTGAGTGGGACTGAAGAACCCCATCTCTGCCCAGGGGCTCAGTCGCATCTCCAGGCCGGCTGAACTGGCACAGTGTGAGTGTCTGCCTGTGCGTGAACTCTCACTGCGCCTGCGCACACGGCTCCTCTCCAGGAGCGATACCCTCAGACCTTGCTGGTCAGGCTGGCATGGGCATAGCTGATTCTCCACTGGCCTTGCTCCCTGGAACTCAATGGCCGTGGCATGCTACTGTCAGTGACAGGGACCATGTGCTGGAGGATATGGGCCTTAGCTATGACATTTGAATTCTCCTCCTGGAACTAGGCTGATCAGTGCAAACTATCCACCAACAGTGAGGTCCCCCACGGCTTTGGTCTCAAGACGTGTTGGCTCCTGTACACTCCCTGGCGCCAAGATGTCCCAGGCACTTACCATTCCTCTACTTCCCAGAAAAGGTGGGGTAGGGGTAAGGGTGGGTGGGATGATGACCCAGACCCTCCTCAGGAGCTGCTGTAAAATGTGTCCCAGAGGGCTAGCCTGTGGGGCCCACTTACTGGCGGCCTAGCTGGTCTTCCTCGTGGGCATCTCATAAACAAGCCACGTTACGATCCCTTTGAGGCTGACATGGACAGGTACTGTGCAGTGGGGGCTTGGGTCAGCCAGAGCACACCTGCTACCTCAGACCTACCTTCCACCCCTGCAAGGGACCCTGGGAAGCCGAGTTAGGTTGGTGCTTGGAGTGAAGGTCTATGGGGGTCTGAGAGTGAAACTGGGGTATCTGCTCGGGTAAAGACCCCTCTTCTTCAGGATCTGGTGATGCTAAGTCCCAAGGAAGTGAGACACAGGAGGCAGCAAAGAGGAAGGCGCTGCTGGTCAGTGTTACGTGCTTGGTTAGCATGGGCTGATGGTGGGGGGAGGTCTGCAGGATCCCCCCCCCCCCCCCCGGGAAACTGGCTGCCTGCCAGCTCTTAGAACTGAGTACATAAATCCTGCCTCCTGGTAAGCCCTGAGCTCTGGGCTTCTTCCAGCTGTGGACCCGGCTCATGGTCCCTGGAGTCCTTTTGCTAGGGGAGGCATGTGTGGTCAATAAAGCACACAATCTCCAGGTGTGCCCTCAGGCCTCCAATAACCAGCAGAGTGGAAGTAAGCCCATGGCAACGGGAGTCAGGGGTGAGCCAATGGGAAACCAAATCCACAAATTGACTGCCAATCAAATTCAAATATGGACCCAATACATGAAGGCAGCAGCAAGACCTTTGTGTAATAAACATTGCGAAGCTCATTTGGTTTCTTTCTTTTCTTTTTTCAAGTCAAATATAACATTATCCCCAAACCCTGTTTTCTGCATTCAGAAGAGAGGAAGTTGGTAATACGAGCAGAACACCTGCAGCCAATCAAAGAAAAGACCATTTCCCACAAGACAGCCAATCACAATCTTTTTCCAGTTTAAGCAGCCAATTGGGCCTCTTCACAATCCTAAAAAAATGACCTAAATAAAGCACCAGAGCTCGGAGAGCTTCCGGGGAAGCCAGATACCGAGGCGCAAATTTTTAAAAAAATAAAGAGTCAGAAATAAAAATAAAAGGTTTCCGTTGGTCAAGATTTAAAAATAAAAAGGTTTCTTCCTGCAGCCAATCACAGTCCATCCCTTCAAGCCAATCACAAACCACCGCTGGCATCTCCCTGAAGCCAGCCCTGCCGAGTGGCTAGGGTGGGGAAGGTGAGGGGTAGGGTGGGGAGGGGAGCAGAGGGATGGAAGCGGAAGGTGGTTTGCTACCACTCAACTGGGAAAGGAGCCCCACAGATCTTGTGGCCCTCGGTGGCTTTCAGGGTATCCCAAGGGGCTTTCAGCTACTGCCTCCGGTCTTCCGTCTCTGACCTGGAAAACGCCATCACCACGTCCTCCGCACCTGCAAACCAAGGAAGAAGAGTTGCCCATCGATGACTTCTGGTGTCAGGACAGGGCAGAAGGCTGTGCTCACCGTGGAGCATCCCTCCTCTATCTTCCCAGGCCTGGCAAAGCAGTGCAGAGGGCCGCAAAGCGCTGGGGACATGCTTCAGTTGGCAGGGAGCTTGTCTTGTATACAAAGCCCCTGGGTTTAGTCCCCAGCACCACATGAACTGGGTGATGTTATTGATCCCAGTACTCAGGAGGTGAAGGCAAGGGCATCAGAAGTTCACGGTCCTCCTTGGCTACACAGTTAGTTTAGGGCCAGCCTGGGGTACAAGACAACCTAAATAAAAGAGGGAAAGAGAGGAGAAGTGCTTCTAATGAAATCCAGCCCTTTCCTGTCTCCTGTAGCCAAGCTGGGGACCTGCCAGTGATCCCACCCTGCTGTGAGGCTATGGGGTGTGGTCCAGAGGCTTGTTCAAGGCCACATGGCTAAGTCAGGAGACAGGTCGTTGGCCCTGGACCATTAGGGTGGGAGGTAAGATTTTCTTGGGAAACTTTTCTACCTTTCAGGTTTAGATCTTGGAGCTGGAGAGATAGCTCCGAGGTTGAGAGCACTTGTTGCCCTTGCAGAGGACCCAAGATCAGTGGCTAGCACGTGCACCCTGGCTCACAACTATCTGTAATTCCAGTTCCAGGGGATCTAATATTCTCTTCTGACCTCCATGAGCACCATATACATATACACAGGCAAAATGCTCTTAGACATAAAACAAAATGCACACACACACACACACACACTGGTTTTCTGAGACAAGGTTTTTCTGTGTTAACAGTCCTGACTGTCCTAGAACTCACTTTGTAGACTAGACTGGCCTTGAACTCACAAAGTTCTGCCAGTCTCTGCTTCCTGAGTGCTGGGATTAAAGCTATGTACCACCACTTCCTTTGTCTTGTTTTCCCTAAGACAGGCTCTGACACTTGGCCAAAAGAGGCAAGAGGAGGAGGGAAGGAGCTGGACAAGCTAACCTGCGAGCTGCCTGTGCCTCTCTGTCCTTGCATCCCACACTACCTGTCTGCCTTTTCTAACCGGTAGTCCAGCATGTTGCTCTAAACTGTGACTGTCAGGCCGCCGGTGGTCTTTCATACTTCCCTGCTGCGATATTGGAGGCAATCTCCCTGGAAGAGGCAGATGGGAACAGCAGGGACAGGAAAGGCCTCCGAGGATTGGGTTGGATGGGGGTGGGGTGCAATAGGGTCTCTGTCACTTGGACTAGAGTCAACGTAGAGATGGCTCTCCTTGTCCACAGGACGGGGGAGTGCTTCCTGCACACATTGCTGCCGGGAGGAGCCAGGAGGCACCTCAGGTGCTGCTGCAGAAGGGCAGCCCATAAGAACACATGACATCCGGAAGGCCCGCCTTCACATCAGCAGAGGCGCTAAAGCAACTTAATCTGTCATCCACCCACCATTTCTGCCTCTGGGAGTCTGTACTTAGCAGCATTCCTGAGAAGACAAGCTCCCAGAAAGGAGCAGATATCTGGCTTCTTGGGAAGAGACACCTTTGCTTGAGATGCCCTATGAATCCTTTCTGTTTTCTCGGAAACATTCTGTTCTCGCTCCAGTCCTGGGACCACGCACTGTCACTGCAGGCAGGATTGTCCTAGCAACCACAGACTCCGGGATTACATCATACTCGGCATGGCAGCTGAGCTGGGCACCTACAGAAGCTGGTTTTTCCGAGGGCATGAGGGGGTGGGAGCAAGACTGCCAGTGTCGGCAGAAGATGCTTCTGTGGCAGTGAATGCGCTCTCTTTCTCATCTGTCTCGTAAGCTTTCTTGAAGGGACCCTGGGCCTCTGCAGTGAGCTGCAGGCACAAAACCAGCACTGGGTCCCCAGGAGGGAATGGTGGGTGTGCAGAGGGAGTGGGCCACCAGCTCCTCAGAGAAGCTCAAATCCTTATCACTGAACTCTGCAGACTGCTCGCTGGGTATACGTCCTGTGCTATGAAGACAGTAACTGTACTGGCTGTTTTATGTCCACCTGATACAAGCTGAAGTCATTGGAGAGGAAGGGACCTCAATTAAGAAAATACCTCCATAAGATATGGCTGTAAGACATTTCCTTAAAGTGATTGATGGGGAGGACATAGCCCATTGTGGGTGGGGCCATCCCTGGGCTGGTGGTCCTGGGTTCTATAAGAAAGCAGGCTGAGCAAGCCACAGGGAGCAAGTTAGCGAGCAGCACCCGTTCATGGCCTCTGCATCAGCTCTGCCCTCACTGCCTGGCAATGGGTCAACAGTGGCATGGAACTGTGAGTGAGGTCAACCCCCTTCCTCCCCGAGACGCTTTGGTTATGGTGTTTAAATGACAACAGCAGAAACTCTAGCTAGGACAATGACCTTCTTAAGGTCACATAGTCACTCTGGTGAGTATGCAAGAAGACACCCAGAGCAAGCTTTGTAAGAGTTTTACCCTCCCACATGCCAGCTGGCCATGTCCTCCCTGACTGAGAATCCACAGGCCTCATTCCGAGCCTCTGCTCTGTGGCTGGGGCTGCGGCAGCCCAGAGGTGCTGCCCATCCCACACTATCTCCTGTCTTTGAAGCACTGGCTGACCACCAGGACCTCCTTCCTCTGGAGCCAAAGAGAGGGCAGCTGAAGTTCTTCCGGAGCATCCTTCAGCCTCTCTGTTACAGTGGATCATTCAGTTTGTCATCATGGCTTGAGCCTTAAAACTCAGTTCCTGAGCCAGAAGAGGAACACAGCCCCCGGGTACCCTCTTCGCTGCCCTGTCAGTGCCATCCTCTACCCCCAGGCCAGCAATCTATTTTACTGGCATAAAAATCTTTCCCATCTTTCCCACTGATACCCAAAGTCAGAACTTGGGCTCAGACCTTCTGTTCATTGCTTCCCACCAGATACAGGTAAGCCCAGGCAGGGGGAGCTACACTCCTGAATGTCTTCTTTAACAAATTAAATAAGAATACCAAGACTGGACAGTACATCACACACACACACACACACGAACCACAGATGTGGACCTCCTATGAATATGGAAAAACTGCTTAATAAACACTAGCAAAATGTATAGAACAACACATAAAAATAGATCATATAGCCATACCAAATTATTCTAGGAAAGCAGGGCTGGTTTAACATCTGAAACTCGCGTGATGTAACATGGTCTACCAACAGACTAAAGGGCACAACCCACACCATCACCTTTACACAGAAAATGAACCTAACAGAATCCAGCATCCTTCCATGACAAAGATGCATTGAACAGGAAACATGGGACTTCTCTACCCAGATAAAGGGCACCCACAAGAACCGCAACTGTCACCATACTGCATGGCTAAAACTCACCCCAGAAAGACGGGAAGAAGAAAAAGCCTGTCTGTTCTCAAAATTTTTACTCAAATTGATTTTTATTTGTTTTGGATATTTGGGAGCAGGTCTCATATAGCCCAGACTTGCGGCTGACTGACAAGCCTCTTGCTTCAGCCTCCCCAGTGCTGACATTTCCGGCATTTGCCACCTCACCTGGCTTCTCTAGGTAGTTCTGAAGGTTCGTTCCTGGGCAGTTAGGCAAAAACAAATAACTAAATAAATAGCATACACATTAGAAAAAGGGAGGAAACTTTCTATTTGCGGATATCATAATCTTATAAGTAGAAAATGCTCTGTAAGTTCTACTTACTGAAAAGCTACAAACTAGCAGGGTGGGGCATACTTTTAATCCCAGCACTGGGGAGGCAGAGGCAGGAGGGTCTCTGTGAGTTTGAGACCAGGCTGATGTACAGAGCAAATTCCAGGACAGCCTGAGCTGCACACAAAAACCTGGTCTCAAAAAACAAAATCAAACAAACAGGTAAATTCTATTTGCATACACTAGCAATGAGTAATCTGAAAATGAAACTAAGAAAATAATTCTGGGGGTTGGAGAGGTGGCTCAGTGGTTAAGAGCACTGACTGCTCTTGCAGAGGTCCCAGGTTTAATTCCCACAGGGCAGCTCACAATTGTCTGCAACACCATTTACAGGGAACCCAGTACCCTCACGCAGATCTACATGCAAGCAAAACAACAATGCATATGAAATAAAAAATAAATAAAATTATTAAAAAAGAAAATAATTTCACTGATAGTATCATTTATCAACAATACTACAACACTTAGGGGCAATTTTTATTACATGTCCTCATTTTCTGTGTGGGTGAGGATGTGTGTGTGATATAGGGCACACGGAGGTTGGAGGACACCGCAGGAGTCTGTTCTCTCCTTCCACTATGTGGGGCCTGGGGACAGAACTGCCTTATACTCTAACTACTCAAAATTTAAAAAAAGTTGAAGTCACCTGACAGTGGTGGCACAAGCCTTTAACCCCAGCACTAGAGGCAGAGGCAGGCAGATCTCTGTCAGTTCGAGGCCAGAATAGTCTACAGACAGAATTCCGTGACAGCCAGGGCTACACAGAGAAAGCCTGTCTTGGTAAAAACAAAACAACAAGAAGTTGAAATCTATTACTTACATCACTTACCCCGCCCCTTTTCAGCGATGGATTAAACAAATCCAGGGCACAAGAAGCAGGATCATCACCGAGCTACATCTCCAGTTGAACTCAGTCTTCTAGGAGACAGGGCCTTACTAGGTAGCTAGCCCAGGCTGGCCTCAGACTGACACTAGTATCCCTTCTGAGTGCTGGGTTACAGGCATGGCCAGCAAGCTCCTGAGAGCAGCTCTGCACCACTCTGGAAACACACGCCACAGTTCCCAGGAGGTGCTGCCCCACACATGTGGACAGGATAGGCAGGATGAGAGACAGACACTAGCAAGTGATAGCAGAGGCCTTGGAGCCCCCCACACAACCTCACACCCTTTCTGAGGGCCATTCTGAAACAGTGCCCAGGGTCTTATTGCCCAGGCAGCTGTGGTCATCTTCAGCATTCTCAGCACCATAGCAGTGTGTGTGTGTGTGTGTGAGAGAGAGAGAGAGAGATGAAACATGTTCTCATGA